TTCCGTCTACAGTAATCTTCTCCCCAGGAGCCTGATTTATCATTTTGGTTAGGCAGAGATTGATTCCTTTGCGGTCAAGATACGGCCACTCACCTATGTGTAGCTATGGTTAACTACTGCCACACTTTGCTCTATCCAAGTTTCCGTTTCTATGTTTTCGACATCTAAAACTTTGTAGTATTACACAATGAAGTTCACGGATCAGATTACTACAGGAACGAGTAATCTACAGACTAATTTAGTACCTGTTTTACATTCGATTCGATATTTGATTAGATTCAATCAATTATACCAATATCATCCTGCCTACGTCTAGGTCTACCTAGTGGTCTCTTTCCTTCTAAACTGATTACCAAAACCCTGTATTTACTCCTCTCCTATCCGAGCTACATTCCCTGCCCATCTCATCCTCCTTGACTTGGTCAGTCTAATTATATCTGGCAATGAGTACAACTTATGAAACTCCTCATTATTAAACTTTCTACAGCCACCTAGTAATTCATCCCTCTTAGGGTCAAATATTTTCCTTAGCTTCCTGTTCCCAAACACCCTCAGTCTACGTTCCTCCCATAGTGTCACAGACCAATTAGCACCCATACAAAACTACAGGCAAAATTATAGTTTTGTACATTTTTAATATTTATGTTTTTGTATAGCAGACGAAAAGACAAAAGGTTCTGAACTGAGGGGTAGCAAACATTAAGCGAATATAATCTGCTCTTAATTTCCACATAAATCAAATTTTTATTTGTTACTATCGCTTCCAAATATCTGAACTTTTCCCTATTTTCAAAGGATCCATTAGCTGTCTTTATGTTATGATTTTGCCCTGTAGTCAAATGACAAGGCATGAACATATACTTACTTTTCTCTGTGTTTATTTCTAGACCAACCTTCTTACTAGCGCCAGTTATTTTTCTTTGTAGTATTTATGTAATCTCCTAAGAGATTTATATCATCACAGACCAGAAGCTGATGTGTCCCATTCAATTTCAGTCCCACCTGATTTTCTTGGGCCCTCCTAATTGCATATTCTAAAACAAAGTTAAAAACAATAACGATAAAGCATCTCATTATTTTAGACAATTTTGAATAGGAAACGTGTCAGAAAAATATTTACATACATTGACGTTACTATAGGTTTTGTTTAAGCACATTTTAATAAGCCTAAATATTTTAATGAGAATATTATCTAGTACTTCCCTCCTAACTGAATCATAGGCTTTCTTTAAGTCTATGAATATCTTTTGTACTGTCTCATTGTGCAGTGATTTGATTACTACCTTGCGATTAATAACTTTGCAATTTCAAATTCAAAAGCACTAGGCTCAGGCACTAACGGATCAACTTATGTATTAATATTTCAGGCTGCCTAACATCACTAACCCCATGAACATTCAATAACTGAGATAAGTATTCTTCTACCCATTCAAAATGTTGCGGAAATCTTCAAGCACATCACCATTCTCAACCTTAACCAAGTTGGTAACCCTTCTTAACTTCATTTATACTTCTGTATAAGTCTCTAATGTTCCTGTTCTTACCATGTATTACAAGCTCATTAATTTTGTCTCTCATATATTCCCTCTTTTTGATCGTAAAATGTTTACTAGCTTCTCGTCCTACATTGTACACATTATCTCCGTTTATTTGGCTCGGATCCTGTAACCATTGTAATTTGGCTTGTTTACTTTGATCTGATAGTTTTAAACATCCTTCGCCAAACCATGGCTTATGCTTCTTCAATTCGTAACATCCTAAGCTCTATTTTGCTGAAATTTTGATATTCTCTTTAAGGGAGGATAATAATGGACCTTAAACACGGTGTGAGGATTTGGACTGTATTAAACTGGCTTACAACATGATTCAGTACAGGGGATCTTCGGTAAAAGGTAATAAACCCTGGATACGTTTTCAACTCGATGAGGTAATATCAGCGTCTACTGAAACATTCTTGTGAATACAGTTACAAATCGAAAACGGTCTTGAATTCAAATTATTGAAGATCCAATTAACTGAAAGAATTTCTGCAGGTCGATGTCGTTTGTTCTAACAACTTTACTACATCTGTCTTTGAAGTTTTCGTATTATTACCAATAACAACGAAGATCAATGACATTTCTAAAAAACGTATTAGTCAATGTAAAATTAATCACGAGCGCACTGGAACGCATCTCTCTTCAGTGTTACAAACTGAAAATGCACAGACAAATAAGTATTTGCGAAGTCGCTTATTTTAATTTATATAAACGGAGCCAAAATCGAAAATCATAATTATTAGTTCTTGCGGACACATACTCTACACTTCTATTTATAAGTAATACAAAGCAAAAAATAAAGAAATTAAACTTTTCTTGGCATCATGAGTTTTGGATCATATGTCGCCTTAGTAAAACATCAGGACAAACAAACAAACAAACTGTTACAGATTTTTTCTGTTGAGTGTACACCGTATCCGGATATTCCGTATGCAACACGAGACATTAATGTGATGATAACATTAATAACAATCTATGCTATCTACGACTAATTACTATGCGTTGTTTACATGAATTTGCATAACCGAATATTGAGAGGTAGTGTTTGTCTGTCCGTTCATGTATTTAATTTTTGCAGCTCACACAATTTTATTTAATTTGGTGTGGGCTGTAGAGTAGATGATGGTGGATCACTTTCGCTGTCGTAATGTCCCACTGCCGTCATAAGTTTCGAAATTGAAACAATTTTTTATAAAATCTCAAGAGAATTACACACAATACAAAAAAAAAAGTATTTATGATATAATGTCTTATTTGAAAAAAAAGTTTTAACAGAAGAAAGACTCCATTCAGATACAATAGAATCAGTTACTTCGTTTGCTATTTCGTATTCAGACGACATCACTTGCAGTAGTTTTGTTTTCGTCGAATCTTCCTGCACATTGTCACTGTGTGACAAATTTGGGGTTCTGCCATTAATCTCCCATTAGACACAAAATTACTGATCGTGATTATGGTGCTGGTGGCGATGATTACAGTTAAACACAAAACCTTGGAATATTCTTCTGCCCAAAGGGTCGTAATCAAAACGCTACATAATTTCAGTTGGTTAATGAAGACAACTACCCGCTAAACAAAGTTTATATTCATAAAACCATTTTACATTAAAAACATTATTTCCTTTAGACATAAAATCATTTTACATTTGACGTTATACCAACAGTAAACAATAGTTACAAAATCATCATACCAATCTAGAAAAAAAAACATGTTGCCCATCTTTGCATGTTGAAGACTTACAACTATTTATCTACTGTATAGAGATTATTTTGACATTCTATAGTACTATTACTCTGTTAAAATAATGCCAGTCTAATCTGATATTTAAAAAAGAAAGTGATGATTTAAAAGTCGAAGAAACTAACGTATCCGAAACGTCGACAATATAGGCTAGAGTACATCAACACGGTACGATTGTCTTCAAATTATACATTTCGATTTCATAACGGACGTTTCAGATAAACTCAGCAGCAGGAAATGGCAGAAGGACGTAAAACGTCTGAGACAAAATTGCACTGGCAAGATTTTCTTAAGGTCGAAAAAATTAAACGTTTTAAAATTCAGCAACTTAAGCTGTAAAAGGTAACAAGAGAGATGTTATCCAGAAAAGAATGTACTATGTAGTTAAAATGCAATGCAACAAACAGGAAAGGGCTTTCGTACTAGTAGAATAAACATGACAGAAATTATGTTATCAAGATAACTTTGCAGTTTATTTTATATAGAAAGAGATAAAGGTAGTACTGTAAAATAACTAACTTAAAAATTACAACCACGTGCTCCGTTACGGCAAAAATAAAATAAGATTTGTCTAAAAGAATAAGTTTTTTAAAGTAAAATTTTTTGTCCCACTGGAGTAATAAAACATCGCACGAAAAGAAAGAAAGGCTTCTTCTGTTATTTATTTTCATAAAACTCGATATGTAAAAGAAAATCAGGCAAAACTCAGAAGAATCTGACGTCACAACTCATTCTTAAATAAAGGAACGGCTCTTTCTACTTTCAAGAGATTTTACCCAATGCATAAATCATTTCACAATCGAACAGACTGTGAGTCTCATACCTACTCCAAGACTCCACAAACTAAGAAAAGCAATACGAAACTTTCAAAACATCTGCCATGCTTAAGGGTATATCACGAGCAGTTACATTAGAAAAAATCATATTACACGATAACGTTTCAAATAATCTTTGTTTACAAACAAAACGTGGGCCGAATAGGTAAAGGAAAGTTTGATTCAATTTTGTTGTAAACTCTAAAACTTCCAGTGTTTCATCGCGGTTGAACGATAATGTGAATCCTATTTCGAGATAATTGTACAGTATAAATTTGGACCTTATAGCCGAGGTTTCGGAGATTATTTAAGTCTCCATCTTCAGGACGAAAGAACAACTATTGTGACGTAAGCCCGTCAAGGAATTGTCTAGCTCAGTGTTGCGCAACCTTCCTACACTCGCGGCACACTAAATATTGTCGAAGAATCATGGCGGCACACCAACCTCATTTCGTATATTGCTTGTGTGTATAGGGGGGAGGAAGATGGTTTATGGCATTGGTTGACAACTTCTTATAAATCGACCCCAATCGAAAAATGTTCTATTTGATATTCATAATTATCCGTCTTTATTATTATGTAATTCGTTTTAAATATGTTTATTATTTGAAATAAATTAAAATATAATATTTCCTACCGTTTGATCCAAAATTTATTAACTATGTGTAAACATTTAAACTTAAAGATACTTATTGATATCTGTACATGTAGATTGCAGAAAAATACATAGAGTGGCAATAAAAATAAAGGGGAGATACATTGTCTGCCCTCAGTCTACCCGATCATAATAAAGAAAATTAAAACTGATACAGAGCAGAAAATAACATTAACAATTATGTCTCATTATGGTTATAATTATAATATGAGGTGAAAATTTCGTGACACGCCTAGATGACTTCCGCGGCACATCGGTTGCGGATCACTGGTCTAGTTGAATATCTCAGCTAAATATTTCAGTAAAGTGTATTTTCGAAGCCCCGAGTTTAATTCTCGTTTCACAAGCCGAAAATCTTAGCCAGGTCTTTCCATTTTATTCTTCTGTTCTTCCCGGCAAACGTTGAAATTTTGATTTTTTATTCTAACCACTATTTTATTTATAATTCATCCTACACTCGTGATGATAAATAAGTTACGGCTTGTGAACGTTATACCAAGACAACAAATTATCACCAGTAGCCACATATAACAATATTCCATCATCATATTTTCTTAAATTCGCCAGCATTTTCTTCAATGGGTCCATATTTGTTGCGACGTGTAATGAAGGTCCCAATACCAGTAACGGAATAGGAAACAGATTCACCACTGCTTTATGAAGAAACATTGTTTTTATATTAATTTTGTTTTAAAATGACTTCCAACACCCACAGAGAATATCCCCTGAGAAGATAATCCTTTTAAAACTATTTATTACTTTTTAAACAACAACAAAAACAGGTATACTCGATTTTTGTAACGTTGTTAACTCATGGAAACTACATGCGTAGAATATGGGTTCGACATTATTTCAACCAGTGGAAAAAACAGAATTATATGTAAATATCCTTTTGGGACTCCACACAAAACAATATTTTGGCATTCCCATTCAATAACCTATAAATACATTAACTTTCAATGGTTCGATTCCTACTAGTAATCAGTAAATCAAAATCAAAATTATATTCACTCTTACAAGTCTAATTCCCTTTATCATGAAGTCTTTTCTGGTGAAAATCATTCTGTCGACAATCGTGTGTTTTAGTCTGTGTTTCGGGTACAAAGTAACAACTGGATTCTGTTGGTGTATTTCAGCCAGGGGTTTATCGACGTTGACAGAAGATCGATTGGGGGTTGTCGTGTCCGACATTTTCTCGGTTCTTAGAAAATCTCTTCCTCTTTCTACAACTTTCGGTTTCCACTCTCAATCTCGCCTGGACCTCAGTGAGCGACCAATGTTGATACTCGTTCCAGCACAACCATCTGTCAGAATGGAAAGCCTCTCTCTGGCACTGTAATTTTTGGGTTATTTTACAGATAACCAGTAGGTTCACAACAACACGTAACGTAATATAACTGAAATAAATGTATGTATTATTTAATGGTAACTATTATTTCTGTGTTATGTATGTGACATTTAGCATATTTAAATTTTCAGACACAAAGTGCTAAGATACCTCATCTAGAGATTAAAAAGCGACATAAGATTTGCAAAATTATTTTTATGATTGTCATAATCTATCTCATGCATAACTTCGTAATGACTTCATAGTTCATAGTTCTCGCCAGATATTAATAAAGCTATGAAATAAAAAGCATTAGAGGTCGAAATATGTAGGTATACAAAATTTCAGCCAGAAATTTTGAAAGAATTGAGACCACTTTAAAGTCCCAGGCATTCATGAAACTTTAATACTAAAACTGACCTTTAAAATATGACTGGCTGCTCGGGCTGGTGACGGGATTTTCCGAACACTGCAATAAATGTGTGGGTTCCATTAAGGCGAGAAGTTCCTTGACCATGTGGGCGACAATCAGCTTCTAAAGAATATTCTGCCGCAAGAGTTACTTAATATAAGTAAATACAATAAAACTATAAGGCCTGCCATATTTACTCATTTTGATTTCACCATATGGAAATGCTATCTCATGAGATTCAGGATTTTGAAGCTGCATTTTAGGACATTTAAATGGGGATCGGCTCATAATAAGGACAATACAACAAGTAAAAACTGAGACATAGATGACAATCAGTCACCTGAAGACGGGAGTGTAATCAACTTCCGAAACATGGACTCATTTACATTAATAACATGCACAAATATTTCTCAAAACTTTTCCACGATTTTACAACTGTCTCGGTAGATAAATGCTTGACTAATATCTCAAACTTCGAGGAGGACCATAAACAATTGAATATAGTTTAAAAGCTCTCAGATTCAGATACAGATACCCACAGAGTTTCCCAGAGATTTAAACGAAAAAACTTGGTTAGGTTAGGTTCTGTCTGCATGGTAATTTCTATGGACCATAAGAGGTTTAATGTATAAAACTATCTCCACTAACGTTTCGTTACTAGGTAGTCGTACAAGTACGGTTTAATGTAGGTGGCACCAGTAAAGGTGTATGACGTCATATTCTTTTGTTTTATAACCTGAGCTAAATGGTAAGTAAGAATAATTGAGTGACCTTTTCTTTCAGTACAGTATGTTTCATGTATTCGTTGAGAAGAAAGTGGCCTGTTATTTTTTAAACTCTTCATGATTGTTAATAAAAGACGTGTGTACAAGATTAGTGTGTAGTTACGAGTTTTAAATATGCGTGCTAAGACCTTTAATTACTTCAGTACGATTTATTTTATGTGAAACATGGGAGATTAACGTGTAATTTTGCTGGTGTGTTACGTGTACAAACATTGAAATATTCTGAAACGGACAGGGCTCAGAGATCCCAATTAATTTAATACTGTAGCGTCATGTTGTGCTACTTTTATGACTTTTTTTATTCAGTAACTTATTTATACAACGTTTCTGGATGTAAATAACACGAATGTCTACCTATAGTGCCATAATAGTACATTGATTATAGACTGTTAAACAACGTTCTGTAAAAAGTGCCTGAATGAAACAAGATACCAAATTAGGCTACGTTTATACATCGTATAAAACACTGCGTAAGTCTTATGATCGGCATTATCGTTAAGATTCATGCTCTAATTGAAGAAAAAAGAAACGCCAAATAGAACAATGTTATTTATTTTGTGTTTATTTAAAGACGCTCTTTCAGTTGCTGCATAGTTTCGAATGATGATAGTGAATAACACATTGGAAAGGATTTGAAAGGAAGTGGTCGTGGCCTAATTGAAGGTACTAACCGGGAATTTGCCTGAGAAAACCACTAAAATCCTGAAGGTACTAACCGGGCATTTGCCTGAGAAAACCACTAAAATCCTCAGTCAGTATAGTCGGTCTCCGAGCCGAGATTTGAACCAGGGATCTCCCGAATACTAAAATAATGTTATGGAGCTTTAGACGAAATATTTAACCAAACGCAACCAAATAAAATTTTTATTAAGAGGATTTAAATTAAATATTTATAATAGTACTCCAAAACAATAATCGAGATACTAGGACTAGCATGATTACAGGTTGAATCACGGACTTTGTGTTCAGCCCGTCATGACGTAAGCACAGGTCACGAACTTTATGTTCAGCCCGTCATGACGTAAGCACAGCTTAACGTTTCCTGACTGAACGAGGACTAATTATTTGAAACGCAATGTAGGAGATAAAGTTGCGTAAACAATCAGATGTTTATTTATCTCCGATTGTATAACGCAGTGACACACAACACGCTGTCTGCTATAGAGGTCTTTTATTTCAGAAGCTATTTTCTTATAAACAAAGAGGTCACCATGTAACATTTTACAACATTCTAACTTTCAAAACAACATGCGTCTATTGAAACAACACTCTGTTAGATCCGAAAATGAGCGGATAAATTTGATACATATTTTAACACGTAAAATTAAATGCGGTATTTATAATATTCTTATGATGACTGATCTCAAAGCACGATTGGTAGGTCATGTTTAACAAATCTGCTAACAAAATATCTTTTTGCGTGTTTGGTTGTTTCAGTTTTTTTAATTTAGACCACAGAGCATTAATTACGATTTGAGGTACTCAAGGCAGTGAATACAAAGATAACTGTGTTGGGAGGGTCTTACTGCCACCATCATCATGGTGACGATCGTCCAAATGGTGGAACAAGTACTTGTGAAACGTTGGTAATCTTCCACCAGACTAAACGGCGCTACAGTCCAGAAGACAGCCATTTTCGTACCGAACATTAATTATAACTCAGTTCCCTTGTGACATGTACGCTGAGTCTTTAACCAGACCGCAGGAGCAAAGTAATTTCATTCAATTTACGACTGCAATAATATTTGTTTTATAAAATAAATACTGAGATCGGTGTTAGATAATGAAACGCTTCGTATAAGTGACACGCAGAACTAATAAAGTGAGATTATATACCATACTTCAAGCCAACGTACACACAATAAAATAAAGGAATTTATTCCTTTTCTCTTATACAACTATTAATGTTTATAGCCACAAAATAGAGATTTATAGCACAATTTTAGTGAACTGAGGCACGTGGATTTCATAAAGCCCATTTTCTACATGATTTCAGTGTTTTTTCTCAATGACCTCTTGTTTTTTGGTTCGTGGATTAAATCTTGAGTGGAATTTGGCGAACATAAAGTTCGAGTTTCTTTTATACATTTACTTTACGATATTTACAACCTAGATTTGACTGCAGTAACTCCATAGCGAAAGGTCAGGCAGTTAAGTTCATAAGAACACATTTAAACAGGATATAAATAAGGCTGTAGCTAAGTTATAGACTAAGTAGACGTATTGCTTAAAGACAATTTCGGTATATTAGTTTGAAATAACCGATCCTCATTATTTTCGATAAAGAAAATTATGCCACCCAAATAACATTTATGCATAAAATCAAACTACAATAACAATGTAATGGTGTGAAAAAATAAATCTGAATATTATTACTTTACTAAGAGAAAAGTAAATCACAAATATTTATGTAATAAATTATTGGCCACTCCCACGCGATTTAATGCTAATTCTTCCCGATAACCCGTGACACAATAAGATGTTATCTGATAAATCTTTAATCGTGTGGAAAAGTTCAGATAATTGAGGATGAAGTTAACAAACTAAAATTGCAAGTTAAATTCTGTGAATGCCTATTAATATATTTTCCATCTGATATCTAAAAACGCAAAGAGTAGGAACATATAACATAATATTACACTGTTTAATGTTTGTGTTCCTTAAAATGACGGGAATTGACGAGCTGAGCAAAATGTTAGGTTCTCAAGAACGACTTTTCATACCGAGTTAGAAAAAAAATAGTTAATATGCTGCCATTTGCAATCCTAATACCTGCGTAGTAACGAGTTGTTTTACGAAGACATCCGGCAATTCTGTGTACAACTCACTTGTGCTCAAGTTACCAGAAGTGACATAACCCGCGTAATTAATTTACTTGTGACTTTTATGTTTAACGTTGACTTACAGAAGAATATTTTGTAGTTTACAATTTAAAGCATTGTGGATATCTGGCTAGCGTCCGTAATGAAGAGCCAAGCAATGTAATTATTTCAACCCACAGCTTAACTCCCCGTTCTGCTTGATGATCAAGTTAATCGTTACTCGGCAGTTAAAATGAAATTCCTTTTATTACATCTTGTTCCTCTTTTCTTTCCCATGTTAGGGTAGATGAGTTGACATTTAAAAGAAAGCGCGAAGGGATGAGGATTTTTAGGGGTGGGGGACTATATTTATAAGATTAGTGCTGTCCAACGGATAACTGTAGACAGACAGAAGAAAGAAAGTGGGAGGAGTTGTCTTGATGTGATACTGGTAGTATACTGTGCAGTTGGAATCCCATTCTCTTCTCAGCTTCTTTCCTTATAAATGTCTCGCGGGAAATAACTACAGAGGGTGGACTGGGGTGGGACAGCTCAAGACGAGGGAGAGGAAAGAGTCTCAGGGGAGATTTGCCTGCCATGTCTGTAACTGCAATATCCCTTTACGCGACACTATTGCACCATCCATCACAAGACAGGGAGACCGGAACGGGTCCATGCTGAAGACGAAGAAGAAGAAGGCAGGCAACCGATGAGGAACCGAAAGGCAGTGTAAAAGCATCGTTGGCGTTGTTGTGAAGGAGCAAGGGTATTTCTCGAAAGGATGAAAGTGGGTGGTTACACTGTGGTGATGGTGGTTGGATGACGACACAGACTGTTGGAAGGGGTAGATTCTGCGGCTCGCTGAGTCCACGATCAACATCGACCGAGGCACATTGCTCCTCTGGCCCAATTGTATTTGTTCGCTTCGTCCATTTGTACATGAATTTTTAGACTACGGCTAGTGAATTAAGACAGTGTTATATTACTTCGTTAAAACATATTTTTATATTGAAATCTGCTACCCCCCCCCTCCCCCAAATAACTCCTTAGGTCTAGACTCAATTTTATTATATTTTCATAAACACCTACTTAAAAATATCTTTCTGAGGTTCTTTTTATCAATTCGATAAAACAATTTTTCAAAACTTTCAATCTACAGTCGTTAAAATCTATACTGTCTGTGCCCTGAAATGGTTTAAGGTGATTTTATACTAAAAGTCAAAATAAAATAAAATCATACTTACAAGCACGTGACATATATTACAAATACAAACGTTAAACTTGCAGTTTATCGTCTGGATAGAGACGAGACCACATCTTTACATTTTAGGAACTTTAATACACAGTATTCTCAAAATTCATTTCGTTTATTCTTCGTATCTTACTGCTCTTTCACTGTGCATTCTGTGTTGGAGATAACTAAACGTAATAAGACGGCACTTATGGGGCATAAGGGAGTTGTAAGAGATAGCGGGGGGGAAAATAATGAACTAACTTGTAAAACATTCGTCACTGACGTCTTCCTTTCGACCTTTCTTACAACACAGCTGGCCTATTTTAATTACAGTTTTAAGTAGTCGCTGAACGAAAATAAGGATTCTACTGAGATAAAAAGTAGCAAAGCAAGACGAAAGAAGGTATGCATTACTCTGATATAAGTCTTAAAAGTTAGATTTTAGTTCTAGTGAACTTAGGGAACATTAGAATTCCTTTTCTTAATTTGCAGAAGATGTCTCACATGGATGATGAGGGAGAATTTCTTAATTTCAGTGTTGATGAAGACTGATTTCATTTTATTTAGCCCTCATCACGCGGTCAACACTACTGTTTTATAACAGGGGGGTTATCGGATTTCAGTGTCCACCCACTGACCAGCTATACTCGTTGTTATCCTCAGTCTACTTAATGTAAACTCTGGTATAGTACCTTACAATAGCACAAAATTACTTCCTTCTACATCCCTCTAAATTCATCACTCACGGTATCATATTACCATTAAAATTTCTTTATATAAATTTATAAGTTTAAAAGCATATTTAAATAGTCAGAGAACATAACAAGTTGGTGAATACCAATAGTGATATTTATGGTAGACTGGATTAATTTAATAGTTAATAGATGATGGATGTAGCAAGTGTCGTCGGTAAATTTCTACCAGACATAGCGCAATAACCCAGAAGGCAGCCATCTTCAGACTCACCGCCGTGAAAACCTCAAATTGTACTTAGTTAACCCCTAAAGCATCCAACATCGATCCCGATAAAAAATATTAATGAATTATACTAATACTCATCTTTAACATTCAAAATGGAAATTATTTTTCTTTGTAACAGATTAACTGAACTATAATTTCGAATCATATCCGTAGAGCCGTTTATCTTTACAATTTAAAATGAAAGTAAAATTTTCGCCACCCGGTATAAATGTACAAGCAATTGTGTATATTGTTACTGTCATTGTTAATATTATAACGGGGTGAGACTATGTATCGGTGAAAATGGGTCTCTAACGGACACTTTGTTCATCCCCAAATGATACATAAGAGAATATGGAGCAAAAGTGGAATTATATTGACAGGAGAAAACTGATGTAAACGAATAACATATTTTCCCAGTTGCACTTCGTCCAACAGTTGGGCCTACACAGCACTAACACTAACAATCCTGCACTTTATACCTTGAATTAAATCCATATGTCCCAATTCATCTAATGTAGATAATTGTTGTCAACTAATTACGCCCATTAGGCTATTCTGGAACTGTTATAATCTTTTTTTCTACAAGTTACTTCTCTAGCACAAAGTTCTGCCTACAGAAATTCTAATCTTCAATTTCCTTCCATCATTTTCGCCCCTTGTTTGTCCTCGGAGCTTAAATCCTCTACTACTGTCATAAAACGCAAAGAACAGACTTGTCAATGTTTTATGCATTTTTTGTTATCCTTAATATATTAACTTCCTAACATACAAGTACTTCTTAACATGTATATTTTATAGAATTTAATTTTTCTAAATTCTTATTTATTTTAAAGTGGCAACTAATTCCAAATTAATTAAATGTTATTTTATTAAGTATTACTGTTTTTATTTTTGTCTCCCGGAAAGTCGTTTAATTACAGATTTAGTTAAAACGAATTCATTTTAATTTCTATAGCAATTAAATATACATAGCTTCCAAATATCCTTAAAACTAGCTCCACGTTTCAGAAGTCTTATTTAAGAGCGAATTATCTCTCAACTAATCAATAAATATTCTTTGTTTTATGTACATATGTTGAAGGTTCATTACCATGCACAAAAGTCCATCACTGGTCTCTGCCAGAGCCAGATTAACCCAATTCATACATCCTTTCTATTCGTGATTAATTTTATATTAACATCCCTTCTATTTCTAGTCACCCAATTTATCTCATCCCTTCCGGTTTTCCGACTAAAATTGTGTATGCATTTTTGTTTCCCCACGCGTGTCGCAAGTTACGACCATGTAAATTTAATTAATTAGATCACCCCAGTTAAATAGAATGGTTGAGATAAAATGTAAATTTAAGATCAGGAAGGAATTCATCATTATTCTCTCACGATTAGAAAGAGGCGTTGAACAAACTACGCTTGTAGATGATCTTGTGACCAGATACGACGACAAACATATGGATCGCTGCCTTCAACAGCAGTAAGCGGAGATGTTGAAGGTGGGTTTCCAGAAGCACTTCGTGTGACAAAGCCTAATTTATGAGCATCATGTTAGTTCTCTTCAACAAAGCGAGCCTCTCGGAAAGAGACAGATCACACAACTCGGATGACACGCGGCTGAAAAACTCTTAATAATCCTCTTATCGGGACCCGTTGTAATGGTAAGTGGACGGTATTTCCACTTTGCATTCCTCTTCTGAACAGAGACGAGCAAAGTTACAGAAGAACGAAATTCGACGCCGCGATGCCTCGTCGTCATGTGTAAATAGCGTACGTTTGCCCTAATCACAACTTCTTTTTAAGAACCACTGAATTTAATTTGTACACTTTACGAATGCAAATATTCAGTATTCAGCGCATATACAACAAAATAAATCAGCTATAGCATTACAAAAATTGTTGCATGGATAAATGCAATCTTCGTAACCTTACTGTAACCGTCAACAAAGTGCATGTTTCAAAGCCAGACAACTACTTCCCCCCTTTACCGCGCTCTAAATCACAATTACAGCGTTTCTAGAATTGCTACGCTGCAAATTCTGAGCTATCTTCACTCACATGGGTTCTGCTGTTCGCGTTGTAACGTTGTACGGCTTTGCTATGTGCAATTTGATGGCGGCTAATAAAGAATCAAGCAATACCAGTAATACTCACACATCGTCCGACATTTTAAGTTTCGGTGCGTTATCTGTAATAGATACTACGTTTTCTTTGAGTTTCAAATCCAGTGTTTAAAGGGCACAAATGTGAGTTACTGCTCGAGCCCTGGAAAATTCAAGCAGTGAAGGGGTAAATCAGTTCAGAGCAATGTGATTATTACCACGCATATCATTTAATTATTTAAGTATTCATAGCACTGTACACCATATGTATAGAATAATACATAGAATAAGTATGAGGAAGCAGAACACGTGAAGGATAGAAAAATACAGAAGCAGAGATATCGCACATCGTACTTAACAAATTCATCCGTCATTTCAACCCCTCGTCACACAGACGTTAAGATCGATCGACCGCGTTTCTTATGCCGAATAAGACCACAGTCTTCCGTTAGCGAGTTCAGAGTGCAAGACAGGAATAAAATTAATATCGCTCTCAAGTAATTGTAATCACATATCAGACTTTAAATTTCCTTCCATAGAAACTGGCAACCGAATTTTTCCTGGCTGAAAATTCGTATGTATTGTCGAAGGGGGTGAAATCGATATATAACACAATTGCAATAGTTACGAAATAAAGCTAATGGTTAGATCTATGAGCTGTGATTGGTCAGAACGGCTCAAACAGTCATGGCTCGTTATGGCCAATAATGGTCGTCCGACATGTCAGAATGTAACTAATATTGCTGTCATTGACAGCTGGTGTTCTTTGCCGATCACATATCTAAGTATTGGCCACGGGTGGAGATATAGCTGCACGGGACAGACTTCAGACCCTTAAATTCTGAAGTAGGAGGATACAGTAATTTCCTAAATCAAGTCGGGAAAATTTATTACAAAGACACGATAAGAAATCAACAAGACTCTCCAATGATCAAAAATGCTGCCCAGATCTCGTACGTGGATTATTTTGCTTAAATTTCATTCTGAACTCATGGATTTGAGCATAAATGTAGTTATCCCCCATACTTAAATAACACAGAATATCAGCAAATCTGCGGAAGTTAAAGATATGTAACAAAACGTAACGGGTTACTTGTGGGAGGACAAAGAACAAACTTAGATCAACTTTGATTTCAAAGTGTTAAGCACCATTACATGCAGACAGATGAGGGGGGGGGGGGGTGGAGATATAGCTGCATATATCCTTAACTTCGGTACCTAGACTGGGGTGTTTATCTTCAATCGCCGGTCGCTTTATCTCTCAAAAAAAACTGGTACTCACTGGACAGGAGGCTTGGTGGACCCCAGAGCCATCTTGGGCTTCGTGGAAAATAGAAAAAATACTAGCCTACCGGGAATCTAACCCAGGTCGTCCAGCCTATAGCCTCGTCACTATATTTATGTAAACTGAAAATAACGTTTTACATACGGGCACCAAATAATGTTTTATTTAGATAGAAATGCCGACTCCGCGAGTGGACGTGGAAACATAATTTTAAGAGAGAAATAAGTTCTCGTAAAACTAGAACTACCGATGATGAAAACACAAAGAAAGGACAGAAGAAAGATAGCAGGGAAGAAGAGAGAAAATAAGATAAAAAATGTCTTTTACGGAAGAGTCATATTTTCCTAGTCTACAGCCTACACAAACAGTTCAGTCTCTCGTTTATGACCCCCATATGTAAGAGGCAACCTAACCGGCTCATATTTGTTTTGTTTGGGGATGCTG